AAGCCAAGTACCAGATGGATTCACTGCTGAATTCCATCAGCCTTTAAAGCAAAAGGAATGCCATGCTCCTTAACTAATTTCATGAAATAGAAAAGGAACATTTCTAAATTCTTCCTATGAAGTCATTATCACCCTAATACCAAAATCAGATAAGGACTTTTCAAAAAGAAAAAAGAAGGAAAAAGAAAAAGAAAGAAAAAAAAATACACACCAATATTCTTAATAAACACAGATACAAAATTCTTGATAAAATGTTAGCAAATTGAATTTAACAACACATTAAAAGATTATACCCATGATTAATTTGGTTTCATTCTAACGATGCAATTATGGTTCATTAAATGTAATATATCATATTAATGGAATCAAGAAAAAAAATTCACAATTATGAAAGCCTTTGAAAAAATTCAGCACCTCTTCATGATTAAAACTCTGGAAAAAACTAGGGATAGAAGGAAACAGCTGAACCTCACAAAGGACATATATAACAAATCCAAAGCTAGCATCATCCTGAAGGGGGAAAACTGAAAGCATTTTCTCTAAATCAAGAAAAAGACAAGGATGTTTTCTCTCACCACTCCTATTCAATATAGAACTTGAAATTTTAGCCCAATTCAGCAAGATAAGAAAAAAAAGGGGGATACAAATAGGGAAGGAAGTTGTCAAATTATCACTGTTTGCAAATGATGTGATCCTATACTTAGAAGATCCTTAAAAGTCCACCAGTACTTCTGGAGCTGATAAACAAATTCAGCAAAGAGCAGGACATAAAATCAACATACTAAAATCAATAGCTTTTCTATACATTAATTTAATTCATTTATTAAACAATGAATCTACTGAAAAAGAGAGAAAACAATTTTATTCAGCATAACTTCAAAATACATAAATAAAATACTTAGTAATAAATCTAAATAAAAAAAAATGAAAAACCTATCCAATAAAAATTAAAGAACACTGAAAAAGAAATTGAAGAATTCACCAGAAGATGGAAGGAGTCCTCCTGTTTTTGGATAGGCAGAATTAAGATTGTTAAAATAGTCATATTCCCAAATGTGATACAGGTTCAATGCAATGTTTTGATGGAGACATCAAAATGCCTGTTTTTCCCAGAACTAGAAAAACAATTCTAAATTTCATATGGGAAAATAAAATATTCAGAATAGAAAAAAACTGTTTTGGGCAAATAGAGTAAAGTTTTAGGCATAACCACACCTGACTTAAAACTATAATACAGAACTACTGTAATCAAAGCAGCATAGTACTGGTACAAAAATAGACACATGGTGCAATGGAACAGAACAGAAAACAGAGGCAAACTCACACAGATAGCCATCTGATTCTTAACAGAGTTACTAAATGTATTCACTAGAGAAAAGATAAACCTTTAAACAAATAGTACTATGAAAACTGAATATTCATAAGTAAAAGACTGAAACTAGACCCACATGTCTCATTCTTCTCTACAGTCAACTCAAAAGGGATCAGCAACCTAAGAATAAGACCAGAAACTTTGTGACTCCTACAAGAAAATGTAGGGGAAACATTTTAGCATGTAAGCATAGGGAGCAACTTCTTCTATAGGACTCCTATAGCTCAGGAAATAATACCAACCATGAATAAATGAGAGAGCATCAAACTAAAAATCTTCTATATAGCAATGAAACAACAGCATAAAGAGAGAATTTTAGAAAATCTTTGCCAGCCCCTCTTCTGACAGAGGATTAATATCCAGAACAAAGAACTTGAAATGCTTAGCATAAAAAAATAAAGAAAAAAGAAAAGAAAACCCAAATAACTACAATCAATAAAATCAATAAATAGACAAATGAACTAAACAGATACTTCTTAAAAGAAGTACAAATAGGCAGCAATTATATATATATATATATATATATATATATATATATATATATATATATGTAAAAGCTTACCATCTTCTGCCATCGGGGAAATGCAAATCAAAAGTATGATATTTTATCTTATTCCAGTTAGAATGGCAATCATTAGGAGTGAAAATAATAATAAATACTGTTGAAGGTGAGGGGGGAAGGAAACCATAAACTGTTGGTGGGATTTTACATTAGTAGAGTTAGCATGGAAATCAGGATAGAGGTTCTGGAAAAGACTATGAATAGAATCACCATATGATCCAGTTACACTACTTGTTAGTATTTATCTAAAAGAATTAAAGTCAGCGTACTAAAAAGATACATGGCTAGCCAAATTAGGGGTGGGGTATGGGAAAGAGCATCATAAAATTGGCAGAACCAATCAAAAGCACTTTCCAGAGAAGGGGAGTCTTAGCCACTAGGTTAATGACTAGGATAATACTAGTTATGGCTGACATCAGAATCATATGCAGAGAGATCTTTACAATCCTAGTTTTGGACTGTACCTCTGACATAAAAAAGAAAGTTATTCCTGTGTATTGGCAATGCCAAAGGTACAATCATGAAAGAAATAATTGACAAGCTGGACATGATGAAAATTGAAAAGTTCTGCTCTGTGAAATATATTCTTACAAGAATGAGAAGGCAACCTAGAGTTGGAAAAGATACTTGCAAACAACAAATGTGATAAACAACTGTTATATAAAATATAAAAAAAAAACACTTGAAATTTGACAGTAAGAAAACAACCCAATTAAAAATAGGAGTAAGATTACTTTTCAAAGAAGATACATATATGGCAAATAAGTAGATGAATATGTACAACGTCATACATCATTAGAGGATTACAAGTGAAACAAAAATGAGATACCATAAACATCATTTAGAATGACTCAAATCCAGATCACTGATATCACCAAATTCTGGTGAGGATGTGGAGCCACAGAACCCTCATTCATTATTGGTTAGAATACAAAATGGCACAGCCAAATGGGAAGACATTTTCTCAATTTCTTATAGCACTAAACACAGTCTTACCAAAAAAATTCAGCAATCAAACTAGCTTGTTTTTTTTTACCCAAATGACTAAAAAATATTTTCACACAAAAATTTGAATACAGATATTCACAGGCACTTTATTCATATTGCCAAGCTTGGAAGCAACTAGTGTCCTACAGTAAGTGCCTGGATAAACTGATACATCCAGACAATGTAATATTCTTCAGCAGTAAAAAGAAACAAGCTATTAAGCCATGAAAAGATATAAATTTTAGGTGCATATTACTAAGAGAAAGAAGCCAATCTATAAAAGCTATATCCTATGTGATTCCAATTACAGGACATTTGGACAAAGACTATAGACACAGTGAAAAGATGAGCAGTTGCTATGGGTTAGGGAGGGAGGATAATGTGGAGGTGGAACACAAATGATTTATAGGGCAGTGGTACTCTTTGGTAGCTTACTGTAATGATGAGTACATATCAAGATGTGTTTGTATGGAATATATAATTCCAAGAATAATCACTAAGATAAACTTTGGATGTTGGTTGATAAAAATATAGCACTAAAGGTGCATTGATCCTAACAAAAGCACCATTCTGATGGGGGAGGTGAATAGTAAGGGTGGCTGTGGGTATAGGAGGGCCATATAATATTAGTCAACTATACACAGATATATGGACATATATATATGGATATATGGAGATATATATATATATATATATATATATATATATATATATCTGTGTATAGTTGATAAATACTATCTCCATTCACCTAAATGTCACACACACATACAGGCTTGCACATAAACACATAAATAAACACACACACACACACACACACACATGACTAAGAGGTCCTTGAAGATAGACTGAGCCTCACTAATATTTTTCATTTGACAACCCTTGGGGCTTTGCATGTAGTAAACATATAAATTGAATTGAATTGAGTTTACTCTGCTATGATTCATTTAAAATATATTATTTAGTAATAGTCATATAACAGATAAATTATTAAATATGAAATTAATATGAGATTCATACACTCATTAATTAATTTAATGTCTATGTACATTTGGCAAGAAACTATGTACATTCTATATTGCTGGTTTGAGATTTAGAGAAAGTGTTTAGTATGCTACTTGTAACATCAGGGCCATTGTTTAGCATTATGTGCTCAGAAGCCATTTGATTTCCCTGTGGAAATTTTCCTAATCCAGCTGCAGTTTATGTGAAAAAAGTACTGAGCCAATGGGAATCCGGAGCTTGTTCCTGGTTAGGTCCTTGAGTAGTGAATTGATAGCCATTGTTGATTCATTTCACTATCATGGCCTGAGGCAGCTCTTCTTTAAAATACAAAATGGAGTAGATAATTTCTAAAACCTTCTAACTCTAGTATTCTTTGTATTTTAAAGCTTAAATTTGGATAATCAACTGAATTCCTACAGAGCAGGCTGGATTCTTGTTCATGCATTTTTCTGACCACAAGATGGCGGGCTTTATGTTGTTTTCCTCAACAAAAAAGAACCTTAGCACTCTTGCATTTTGAAAATTTAAAACTATCAATTCCTGAAAAAGTCTGATAAATGCGACATGGACTTTGTATGCTGACTCTCAAGGGTGTCTTGAATGTTTGGGATTTTCACAATAAAGAATATTACCCTTTTTTTGAGTAAGAATACTGATCTGATGGAGACTGTTTTTATACAAATGAAAAATCCCAGGAGGAGATCAAAGAGACTACAAGTATTTTCATTTGTTTTTCCTTCCACAAATGAAGGAGAGCGCTTTTGAAATTTAGAATTGATAAAAACTTTAGCATAAATGTTACTGAATACAGTTTTCAAAATACATTGTAATTCTCATATTTTTGGTCTTTGTCTTTGATACTTCCTAAGTATCACAATCATTTGTTGTTGTTGTTGTTGGGTGGGGGGGATGTCTGCTACTGGCTTTTAAGATTTGATTTGAAGCAGAAGTAGCAAGTCCTGATGTGCATCAAACTGGGAAGAACAAGATTAGAGTCTCTGAACTTTATTATAATTTTAGTTCCTATGGAAATTAATTTCTTATATCTATCTACTTAGGAAGACTTTGCCAACTTACCCTGGTCAGAAGCTCATTCATTTCCATCACAAGTGTATTCAGATTGTCTTCTGCCAACTGAATAAGCCTCTCAGGGGCCCGCTGGGGTGAGAGCAGGTGCTGAAAAACATTTCATCCCATACACACTTCAGTAAGTGGTTTTGCAGTAATCATTGGGTTGAATGGCACACAGTTTTCCTACATATTCAAAAAACTTGGTTTATTACTTTAAATAAAAAAAATAACAACCCTACATACTGAGCATTATGTCAAATACTCAGGAAAATAGCAAAAAAAAAAAAAAGTAGTAATTTATTGAGAATTTACTGTGCAAACTTTGTTTTTGTTTCTTGTGTAGTTGCTATTTCACTTAATTCTTACAAGAGTCCTATCTAGTCAATGTTATTCCATTTTGTGGATGTGGCTTATAGAGAGTTAAAAATCTGTGCAAGATCCCACAGCTAATAGCAAGTAGAATTAAGATGAACCTCCATAACGCTCCTGGTTCCAATCAGCAAAGACACAGTTTACAGGCACGAAAAGAGCTAACAGTAGCACTTGGCATCGAGATCCTGGTACTAACTGGCCTGGACTTAGAATAGGTAAGAGCTGGTCTGGCATTCACAGGCTACTTTCTTCTCCCGTTGAATATACAATTTCACAAGATTAGATAGGGTCACTCTGTGATAGTGGTGAATAAAAAGGAAAAATGAGACCATTCTATAATCTTATCTAAGCACAGACAATACCGTTTCCCTGGGCTTAGATAATACCATAAAATCCTATTTCCTGGCTAACATGAAGGACCAGTTTCTTCACTCATAGTTTGTTTCCCTCTGTTCTTCCTAGATAATCATTAGACTATTGAATTATATAATTATTCCCTCTTGCTAACAGCACCCAATTGAGTACTAACCCCTGCTTCCTGGAACCTGCCCTCACACCACCCAGCTCTAGCCCAATGTACTATACCTTCTTCCTAACACCCTCTTATGGAGAGGGCCCACTGTTCTCCCTGGTGTTCCATGTCCTACCTGGAGTGAGCTAATAAACCCAGCTTTATTCTATCATTTGTGTGCTCTTGGTGGTCTTTAGATTGGACCTAGGGACCACTGCCACAGTGAAGAACTGAAGAAAGAGATTAAAGAATTTGCTTAAGGGTTTAAAACATCAAAATGGGATCTTAAGGATCCAACTACTTAATGAATTATGTAATAAGAATACACAGAATCAGGAGAGTTTGGGATTTAAAGAAAGCCAAGCTCATTCTGATTAACACCTAGATATAAGAGGGTAGGCAACTGAAGTCCTCAGCTTGGTGACAGTTGGGACCTTTTCCCTGGTGCCCTTCAGCACTTCATTGTTCATTACTTCAGTACAATTTTTAAAAAAATACTTACATCCAACTGAAATGTTTGCTTTTCTAATTTAATTTCTTTTCTTTGTATTCCCTTCATGCACATGGAAAATAACTAGTCGGCATTCTCTTTGTGGAAACTCTTTATATCCCTGAATATTAGGACAATGAAGTTAAACTCAGAATCCTCTGCCTGCTTTCAAGGTTGTCCTTCATATCACCCTGCCCTACTCCAGTCCTCAGCTTTATCTGTCACTAGCAGGCCTGACTTTTAATGTCTGCTAGAGATGCCTCATTCATACCTCTCCCTCTGCTCACATGGCATGACTCCATGGCAAGAGCAAGCAGGGGCTGTGCATTAGGGAGATCTCACCACTGGTTCACTGGGTCCTCCCTGGCAAGTTACTTTCTCTCTCTGAGTTTTATAGACATTCTTGTTTTTTGTTGTTGTTGTTGTTGTTGTTTGTTTTTTGTTTTTTTGTGGTGCTGGGGATCAAATCCAGGGCCTTGTTCATGCAAGGCAAGCACTCTACCAACTGAGCTATATCCCCAGCCCAAGACAGTCATTCTTATAGGTTTTAAAGTTATACTCCCTCTTTTTAAATTCTAGCTCTACACTCAATAGCTATAAAACTTTGTGCCTTATGCAAAAACTTCTTGGTGCCTCAGTTTCCCTACTTGAAAAACAAAGATAAAATAGTACTTCCATCTTAGATGAGACTGCTATAAAAAAGAAATACTACAGACAGGTGGGGGGGAGAAGAGAGAATGTACTTCTTCTTTATATGAGGCTACTAATACATTATGAGGTCTTTACCTTCATGACCTAATCTGTTTACCTCCCTAAGACCCTGTCTCCAAATACCATGACATTTCTTATTATTGTTAGAGATTGTTTGTCTCTCTCTAAAATTTTACCCTCTGAGGTGATGGTATTTGGAACTAGGGCATTTGGGAAGTGATAAGGTCATAAGGGTACAGACCTCAAGATTAGGATTAGTGCCCTTGTGAAAGAGATCTAACAAAACTAGCTATTCTCTTCTACCATATGAGAACACACATCTATGAGGAAGGGGCCCTCATCAGATATACAATCTACGTTTATCATGGACCTCACAATCTCTAGAACTGTGAATAAGTCCCTGTGGTTTACAATCTCCACAGTTTATAGCATTTTGTTACAGCAGCCTAAAACAGTCTAAGACAAGCCTTCAACATATGAACTTTGTGGGGAGCACAAATATTTAATCCATGAAAACTCTTTTCTTACTTCTTAGAGTTTCTATATGAGTTATGTATGGTTATTCACGTAAGTTAATTGCTTAGTTTTCCATAAATTTTAGTTATTCTTGCTATCATTATCAGTGGTTTTTCAGTAAAATAGGCATAATAAAGTGGCTATAATCAGGATTAAAAATATATTTCCCAGATAAGTATATGGGGCGAGTGAATCAAGTTTGGATTTCTTCCTCGTCCTCACCAATACTTCTCTGCCAATTAAGATGGTATATAAGCCAGGCACAGTGGCTCACACCTATAATTCCAGCAGCTTGGGAGGCTGAGGCAGGAGAATCAGGAGTTCAGTCCCAGCCTCAGCAAAAGTGAGCGAGGCCCTAAGCAACTCAGTGAGACCCTGTCTCTAAATAAAATAAAAATATGGCTGGGGATATGGCTCAGTGGCCAAGTACCCCTGAGTTCAATCCCCAGTACCCTCAAAAAAAAAAAAAAAAAAAACCTAGCTAACTAAATAAAATGGTATTTACCCTTTGATTTTCAACAAAATTAACTCTCATTAAGGGTGCATTCTCTAGTTATCCAGAATCTTACAGATTTCTTCAATCTTTGTACTCTATTGTACCTCAAATCTTGATAAAGCACATAGTATGATTTTTGCTATTGAATTACTGCTTAATGATTTTTTTAAGCTACATAGAATCTAGGATTCCTGAGGTTTAGTGACAATATTATAAAAGTCAAAAGATACCCCAGGGAACAAAGTACAACCCTGGGCATTCTATAATTTCTTATAAATACTTGGTAACTGACTGATAGCAAATTATGTACTTTTCATCTTTTTAAAATGAATCTGATTTCCTTAACATTTCTTCTTATCCCTTCAAAGACCAAAAGCTTTAACAATGTTTCAGAATAGTGTTTTTCAAACTGGAACTTGTAGAGGTACTTTCAAAGTCTACTAGTTCTCTAGAACAAAGATTTATTCTTGGGTTTTAATGTAAGCTCTTCTGGACCCCAAATTAGGTACTCAAGATACACATTAACTCCTGATATCAGAGACTACATCTGCTTACATGTTTGATCATAGGGAAAATTTGAGCTTATGAGTCACAAGTACTTGTCAAATGATGCCAAAAGTTGTTCAGGATCCCTTGCAAGGGGCTCACTAGTTCAACTGTGGAATAGTAAGATAACCAAGCTATCACATATTGCCTGCTGGTGAAAGAACCCATGCGGAGGTAGTCAGAATCATATTCTTGTTGCAAGTAGCAATTTACTTTTAGCCAAAATCATATTACTTTAGATTAATGTTTTTAATTTGAATTTTATTGTTTTGTAGACTTCTGTAAGAATTAATTTGTTTTGATTTTATGGAGCTATAAGTATAAGGAGTACATACCTGATTTTATGTTCACACATATTTAAGTCACATAATAAAACTGATTTAGGAAAAACAGTTGGGGGAGGGTATATATGAGACTCTTTTTCCTTTAATGGCACTCTGCATATTACAGTTTTCCAGTTTGAAAAACATGGCTTTAGAAAATCTGAACTTCCCTAATAGCTGCTCCCCTTGATTTGGGGCAGTGGAAAGAGCATTTACCAATTATGGCCAATGTCACTTGGGATGCTTCTGTCACCTTGGCCCTGGTTCTTGCTGCTACTGTACCAACCTACCTTTAATTCCTGAGTTGTATTTTCAATGCCATAGAGAATTTTATACGGAGCAGGCAGTGGGCCCGTGAGGTTGATGCTCATGGCCATTTGCTCCAGGCGAGCCAGGTCATCAAGAAGCAGGCCTGTGCATTCATCTCCACAAACTGGAAGGGAAACAACAGAGAATATTTACTTCTGCTAAACATGCCATCCAGATGTTCAAAGATTTCAGCAATGAAATAGTTTATGGGCCAAGCATAATTCTGTGAGACATAGTGGGACTCATCTCAGATAATTAATGTTATTGAATGGATAGCAATTGAGAAAAGATGAGAATAATGACAACAGAGTTGATATGCCTGCCACCCAGAACTGGAAATAGAAGAAGATGAACTACATAGAGGTTCCAAAAAGAGGACTAAATGGAGTTTTAGGGAAAGGAAGCATATTGCAATAGCAGTAAAGGAGAGGTGAGACACAGAATATAAAACACTCCAAAGTCCCCACAGGAGCAATCTGTAGCTTAGAAATATAACATACTGCAGTATATTCAAATTGTTCTATGTGTATAAATGTACAGTGCTACACTAAAGCAGGTTGTCCTGTGCGTGCTTCATGTATGACATGTCGAAAATTATGAAAATTATCACTGATTACATACTAAACAGTATTATTTTTCAAGCCAAAATAAATTTTCTTTTTATAATTATTGTTTTTACCATGTCTTGATATTTATTTATTTACTTATTTGTTTGCCAACTCTTCCTCTGTAGTGAACCTCAATACCTTTTCACCCATGGTTAGGTACAGCCCACAAATCCCCAATTTGATGATTAATTAACCTTGTCTAGTCTTGTAGATAAATAATGGCTATGGATCAGGAAAGTTTTATCTCTTAAGTAGACAAGAGTACTAATATTGTGCTTACAATCTTTTCAGTGATCAGGAAGAGGAACTCCTCAAATTTGGTTGTACAATTGGTAGAGAAAAAATTGGATTTTTGTCTCTTCATGATCGAATTAATCTCACAAATAGTACAATTTCTAAAATTAACATGTATTAATATTTGGGGAGCACTTTAAATTATATGTATTTCCCTTTCTAGTTTTACTTTGCAGAGTAATGAGTTTTCTCTTCATAAAAAAGGAGCAGGTACTACCATGCTGATAAAATAGATAAATTCATGTATACAGTTACAATCTCTAACATCTATTCTGCAGATGGAGATACCAAGACTACACACATTAGAGGAAAGGAAAATACCTATCACGGAAAATACTGAGATCTGGAGCAGCACTGGATCAAGCCCCAAACTGGCAAGAATTCAATTAGTTCTCTAAATAGCACTCCCCTGAGCAGCTTAATGGAGAGAAAACCATTAACAGAAGCTTGTAAACAAACAGAAGTAGTATAGAGGGTGATTTTTTGATAGGACAGTAGTTAGAGGTGAGTTACAACATTTCTTCACAGGGACTAAACTGCCCCAGCAGGGTGTTTGATAAATCAGCTCCTTTCAGGTGACACCTGCAACCATGGAGTGTCATCTGCAGGGGCTCTGCAAGCTCCAATACTTGAGAAGCTGAGTGAACAAGAGCTTTGGAGGCAGCAACAGAAGGCTGGAAATGGAGCTGTGTCTCTTCTAATTTTTTTTTTAGGTGAACTATAAGTATACATAATAGTGGGACTCATTGTTACATATTTGTGTACATGTACACAACATAATTATAACAACATAATTTGGTCAATTTCATTCCCAGTACCTAAGTCTGTCTCATCCTCCTAACCAGAATGAAGGAATTTGTGCATTGTGGAAACTAAATAAAAGGAAGAGAACATTATGGCTTCACCCTCTTGATCAGTGTAAGCTTCAACAGAGTTACCTACAAGACATGATTATAGAAACACAACACAGGACATAATTAAGTGCCAAATTGATCATGCTTAAACACCTAGATCCATGTTCTGGTTCTCCAGAACTTCAGTAGGCCTTAGTTACCCAAAGGATTTTCTGAAATTCCAGGAGACTTAGTCATGCCCCAGGTTTCTGAATCAGGAGGTGATAGTATTCCCTGGTATCTGATTCTTAGGCTGAGCATGTGTATCCTAACAAGTTCCTGGACATCTATACTGCTGGTCTGTGCACCATGCTGTGAGGAGCTAACAGACTAGCAGTCTTGGCACCGCCTGGGAGCTCATTAGAAATGCACTGATGCACTGTCTTGTGCTCTACCCCAGATCTTGCAAACCACAGGCTGCATTTGAGAAAGATTCCACGTGATAGGAAAGTCTTAAAAGCTCTGCTGGAAATCAGTGGTTCTCAGCTTTGCCTGCACATTAGAATCACATGGGGATTTATAAAAACATAGATCCTGGGTTCTTCCCCTGCCTGCCAGATGGTAAATGGTAGGAATGCTCAGTGCTAAAGTGGGTAAGATATGGTCGAGCTCATTTTACTTGTGTTATCCTTTACCTAGGGTACTTCATCTTCATCCACTTGGCTTTTGGGTGTGCAGGTCAAATATTCAGGTGTTACTTGCACAAAGTGGAAGGTCCTGATGACTTTAAAGTTACCTTTACTTCAATTGCTCACCTGTCACCCCTGAATTCCCTGTTTTATTATCTTAGACCTTCTGCTTGCACTGGCTGTCTTAGTATGTTGTTTGCATATGTATATATTGTTTCTCTCTTACTTAAGAATGGACCTTAAACACCTTGTTCACTGTGCCTAGAAAGTGTCTTCAACAAAGTAAATTGTATAAATACTTGTATATTAATAATATCTTTGTGAATGAAGAGCAAGAAAATCTTTTGGTCTAAGAATGGCTAAGGATGGCATGTAAACAAGTTCCTGAGAGGGTGAGACTGGGGGCAGAATGTTCAAGTGAGAGAGGGGAAGGATATTGGTCACATAGAAGACTTCTGAATGTGAGAGTGACATGTTTGATAGGAAATGGTGAACCACGCAGATTGCAAAGAACAGAGGAACAGGATAAAAACAATAATCATAGAAAAAAACTGTGTTGTGATTTGAGGACAGAGACCACCTGAAATCAGGGATGACTGTTGTGGTGGCTGTACTGGGGCTCCATCATGCAGTGATGACCCAGGGAAGAGACACTTACTTGGAGCGACAGAAGAGAAGAAAATAGGTCTAAAGTACCACCAGGCAAGAAAGACCACATCTAGGTTACTGACCAGATCAAGGTGATTCTGATTTCTGTAGTACGTTATAAATGATTACATCTTTGCTGCTGCTTCTGTGAAAAGGTAAGTTTACTTCTCTTCCCTCCAATCTTCTTTGGCTTTGCCACATACTCTGATTCTCAGAATAGACAGAGGAATACATTTACCTTCTAAGCCTCAGTCTCAAGGTGTTAGTGATTTTTGCTTTCATACTCTTGGAACCCGGTTACTTTGAGGACAACCCTGGGCAAGAGCAAGGATATAACATGAGACAGAGAGGGGCATGCTCAACTTGCCACCAGCTGAGTCCCCACACTGTGGTTGGGGTCATTCCAGATACGTCCAGGCATGGCAACAAAAGTCCTGTCTTACTGACCCCAGCCCAAATTGCCAACCTATAGAATCTTGAGGCTACGCTGTATATAGCTGGCATTGTACATTTCAGATTGGCAGCAATAACTAATATACATTTCTAAGTTTTGCTGCTATAATTCAGAGTATGGATTCAAATGAAAGACTTTGACTTTGCAATTCACAAGTTAAAAGCAAGCATTTGTAGCAATTCTTAATATTATTAAGAATTATGAAAAACATGAAGTTTCCCTTTCCAGGGAGCCCAAACAAATTCTATTTATTTCTAGTGAGGCTGTATTTTTGGAAGATAATCCCAGATTGAAGCAAGTAATTTTCACTTTTCAGCTTCAAGATCCCGAAAGGTATTTGATAATATGATATCTCACCATGCTTTTTAGGGTAGAATGTTCTTCAGGAATCCTGTGGTAGTCCTTTCTGCAATTTATTTATAATGTATTACTCATCTATCTCCAAAAAGGAATTGAGTTGGCTTGTTGATAATAATATAGCTAGAGGCTCCTTATTGTATGATTCTAGAAATTGCCAGGGAAAGTACCCACAGTTTGCTTAGTTTTTATTTCACATAAGAATAAACCAGGAGCTGGAATGGAAAACTAGATCTGATTTACTGTGATCTACTACAGAGTAAATTGCTGAGCTAGAATGCCAAGAGGCATGATGGATACTGATTTTTCTCTCATTTATTCTACCCCCTGCCCATCTGCTTTAGTTCCTCATCTTCAGTTGCTAAAATGAAAATGTATTTAATTGCTCTTTCAAGGACTCATACATTCCATTTTATGTTTCTGTGTACAAAGGTCTATTATTATCCCATGTCTTATGGTCTTTGTGTTTGCTTTTGGGAGAACCAAGTTACAAGCACATTTCCATAAGTGAAAGGTAAGTTTTATAGTATGCTCCAAGTAATATACTAACATCTGTCTCAATGGGTTCAGAAAGACTTATGAAAATGGTAGCCATGGAGATTTTTTCAAAGCTTCTGTACAAGTCTAGTACACTCAGTTATAAGGTAAACACACCAGGAATTGTGCCCTTTGCATAATGGTTTGCTGTTTTTTTTCTGACACAAAATATTTCACTTATACCACAAGCTACTTTTCTTTGCCCTCAAAAGTCTGAAGTGTCTGCCAATAGACACTGGAAATGGGATGCAATTTAAAGATGAATTTAACTCACTATGATGGGAAGATCTGAAGAGTGCACAGAGATGAGGAATATTCACATTCTGTAAACAATTGCTCTTTGATAAGGGTGCAGTGTAAATTAACACCTGTCTCATGATCAGGACCCCAAATAACCTCACCAAACAATTTTCCTAATTCAGCAATACAGATAAGATTATAAAGTGAAATCCTGCCTAAAATGCATGAGAGCAAAAGCAAATATTTCAAGACTATGATTATATTTTACATGACTAAATGTTTCCAAGGCTTTGCCTATAAAAGTGTCAGAATAAATTTGTGTCTAATATTAACAAATGCAGTACTAAATTCAGATCGTTATAGCTGGGCACATGTAAGGGGCAAATCATGCAGCCAATATTACAGATCTTTCTGTTAGCAATTAGTACAAAATATTGCATTTCTACCAGAGTCCCCCATGCATAATAATGACTGGCTTACTGTCACAAAAATTCACAAACTGCATTCATGTCAAAGAAGCTGAGGCTGAAATGAGTACACTGAGCATTTTAGAAAAGGCTAAACCCCTTTGCCAATTTTAGATAAAGATATATAAATTATATGTTCTATTCAACTAAGAATAATGGAGTAAATATACATTTTGACAAAAGATAAAATTTATGTGTTAATGTGCATATTTTAAATTAATCCTTCTAGAAGAATAGCATTGATAGTTCCCCTGTGTCTGGATTTTATATTTCTCTCTTTCCCTTGACCTCTTCAAGAATAAAATTTTAGATTAACATAAATTTAGGGCTTATTAAAATGGATCCAGTTATTTTATATTATTTATAAATAAATGTATAAAAAAATTGGTCCAGACTCATTAAGAAGGCATTTTATCTGTTAGGTTTGACAAGAGGTAAAGGTAATCTGTAGGTTTTAGCTGAGACTGATAAATCTGTGTGCCAAGTAGTAAAATATACATATATATAATACATAAACTAAATCAGAGTCTATAAGAAAAACAATGGTTCAGAGATGGTTCAGAGATGGTATAACTTTTCAAAAACCAAATGAAAACTTTGAAAATTTGAATGTACTATAAATAATAATGAGATTATAGCTTTTATCTACACAATATTCACTATATGACAGGCAATGTATCATGTTTGCTATCATTATCTCATCTAATTCTCACAGTAGTTCTATTAGGTAAGTACTATTAATATACTTTTTTATAGATAAGAAAAATAGTCACAATTAGGCTGTTTATGAATCTATAAATAATGCATGTGCAGAACTTAAAGAAAAGAAAAATGTAAACTGGTCATAAAAGTGATTTTCTGTGACTTGAAGAATCTATAATTAGAGATAATTATATAAAACTGGAATTCAGCCTAAATGAAGGAAAATATTGTATTAGAAACAGATGAGTTGCACCAAACATCATGTCTTTGAAAAAATGGCCACTAAATAACAATGATAGTAATAATTGTTAGGATTTATAAACCATCTATTATGCTTAGACATTTCATATGCCTATATATAGTATTTTATTTCTATTTTACAGATGTTAAAATAAGGTTTTGAACAATTAACTAATTTGGTGTCACACATCTTTTATGAGATGGACTAGAAATCAAACCTTCTACGCCATTTTATTTTATTCTTTTTGATACCAAGAATTGAACTCAGGGGCACTTGACCACTGAGCCAGATTCCCTGCCCTATTTTGTATTTTATTTAGAGACAGGGTCTCACGGAGTTGCTTAGCACCTCGCCTTTGCTGAGGTTGGCTTTGAACTCATGATCCTCCTGTCTCAGCCTCTGGAGCTGCTGGCATTATAGGTGTTCACCACCGTGCCCAGCTCTAAGCCATTTTATAAAAGCAAAATTCCGTGCAATAGAGAATTGTCTGTTTGGGGGATGCCACAAAAAGGAGAATGATTAGACTGTCTTTTAATATATCTAATTTTAAAATCATGTACTTGTAATATTCTTTGAAGTCAATAAAGCTTTAGGGCCTAGCCAGAATAGAAATCAATGAAGAATTCACTTTATTTTTAAAAGCTTCACTGAAAAAAAAAAAGGAATAGTGATCATGCTTTTCCAAATGTCAATTCAACATGCAACTCCTTAATCTGTTAACAGAACAGTTTGCTCAATGTGGTGTGCAAATCACTGAGACTCTCCCACAATGACTAAAAAATTTATCCAGAATCAAAGTGACAGTTACTGCTCCACACACTGGTCCCCTGGATCTGTGCTAAGAAGGTTGGTGACAAGAAATTCAAGCATCTTTTACTAATGAAACAGATGAGTAGATGGTGCAAAACAAGGGAAACACAAGTGGTTTTAACGGATTGCCAACACCTGGATTTGAACAGCATGCCATGGTTCAGAGTTCCAAAAGGCTCTAGTGGACACATTGGCCTTGGAAAAGGAACTTGGACACTAAAGTGGGGGTAGAGATAGGGTGATCTTCAGGGTGCTGGGATGGAGGGCAATGACATACAAAGTTATAGATTTTAAAATTGCCTTTGGAGATCAGTTGATGTTTTTTCACATTTTAAAACAGAAAATCCTGTTTTCTTTACAGTGATAACAATATTCTACTATTTTGAGCCTAATTCTTTGCATAGAAAACAATCACTGTCAATATTAATCAAGTTTGATTATATTGGATAAACAATGCTCTAGTGATAATAAGAGCCTTTGTATTGTTATGGTAAGATCTTTGGTGGTAACTGGCTGTTAAAAATAATAATCTTGATAGTGTCTCTGTGGATCAGTATCAAGGACACTTCATGATAGATTTTTTACATTAGCTAGCAAAGCTTTATTTTATATTCTATATTTTAAATAAACTGTGACTATAAATAATAAAAAAACTGATATACTCCAAATACTTTATATGCAGTGATTAAAAATAGTAAGTATCAACTTGATATTTATTAAATGCTATTTCAAGCACTTTTTGTGGCATAACATCTTGCCAATAGCTATTTATTTTATCTTTTGGTTTTCTGGGAGATTTATCTATTTTACCATGCCATTCACAATCTATTTTAAACATCACATGAGTTACTCTGTTAAGTATGCATCTGAGGAAAATAGGACATGAACAAGTCCAAGTTTTTCACAATATAAAACTTTACTACTGAATAAATAATGACTTTCTTGCTCATTCTCAAATTTCAGAAGGGCAGGTAATTGTAAAATGACATGTCAATTATGAATGAGGGTTGAAAGAGGAGGATGGATTTTTTTAACTTACTAAGGAGAAAGCCAACTTTGCGAAATCCAATCAATTACCTATTCAGATTTCACTAACATATGCAAGTGAAGAACTCCTTGTAATAATAAAGAACTCCCCCAAATAATTCCTACAAAAAGAAAAAAGGCTCTGAAGTTAGTCTGGGTACATGGCTAGTGTGCCTTTTTTCCTACAAAGGGGACAGCCTACTTGACAATCTCTGATGAATTAGCATCTATTAGAAATATTTTATAAGTCTTTTATAACTTAGTGGAGAGACCCACAATGTTTAACAGAAAAAAATAAGACCTTATTGGCCTTGGATAAATTTAAAAGTTGTTTTTTTATATATATCTGTAGTCCATTTTATTTTTATTTTTTATTCAGGTAAAATGGATTCTTAGAGGAGAAGAAATAAATGAATAAAAGACTGACTTCATTAATGCTGAATATATCAGGTAAACCATGTTAGTTTTCTGCATTTTCCATCAGGAGCCAGCAGAGAGGTTAAGAAAATAAGATTTACAAACCACCTATGTTCAAACAGTGAACCTTCGGAAAGTGATTTGTGTTGGTCAGCTTCCCATCATTATAATGAAATATCTGAGACAATTAACATATAAAGAGAAAAGGTTTATCTAGGCTCACATTTTTGGTGCTTGCAGTACAAGATTAGCATACTCATTGCTTTTGGCCTCTGGTAGACATTTCTGATGGCAAAGTCTGAGAGTGGTTGGTGGAGCAAACAGCTCACCCATGGTAGAGAGTAAAAAAGAGAAGAAGGGACTAGGTCCCACAGCCTCCTTTGAGAGCAGACCCCCAATTACCTAAGGACTTCTCATAAGGCCCTACCTTCTTAATTTTCACCACTTCTCAATAGAGTCAACCTGGGGACCAAGCCTTCAATACATTGACCTTTAGGGGACACTTATCCAAACCATAATATGGCTTAAACTGCCTAAATTTAACTTTCTTATCCCACAATGGTGATGATAATGTCTAGGGATACGGCAAGAATTAAAAGAGCTGCATATGAAGCAATTAACATGGTGCCTGCAAAAGATCAACTCTCAAAGTGAGCCTTTAAAAATTATGATTATGATGATCTTGTTTTTGGTAGAGGGGATTCTTTGGAGACTGACTAGTGTCTGCAGGTGAATATTGCTTATTTAAGGCCAGGTGCTATTCTGCTTGGTGGAGCTGATCACTTTGGTGTGGCTGGATTTGACTCACTAATTGTGTGACACTGAGGTGTAAATACTTCCCACGATGGACACAAACTATTTGTTTAAATTCATCATAATACTGGAAATCTCACATACAAAAAGCCTATGTCCCACAGGAAATTCCATGTTGAATTCGGTAAAATTCTGGCTTACTCACTCTCAACTGGCCTTGGTGGTGATAAGTCTCTCTGGCAAAGCTGGGTGGTCAAAGGAAACTCTTCTATGACTTTTGTATTTGTTCTGTACTGTCCAGTCTTTCAGCAGAATTTTATCTTTTATTATATATGACTTTAATTTTATGGTGCATATGCAGATTCTTTCCACCAACAGGTAGCTTGCCTGAGATAATATAATGAACATGCCTAGGTCATTTATTGTGCATTTAAAAAAAAATACAAACTCTTGTTATGGGCCAATTTAAAGTGTGTTTGCTAGAGAATCAACTATAGAGAAGAAATTTAACTCTTCTACAATATATGCTACCATCCTATATGGGTGCTTGCTTTTGTAACAGGAGAAGCATTTCATTTTCTACAGTCAGCACCACATTAAGAACCAGCACCACAATCACTTCTCTTGCTACACATCTCTACTTTTGCCCTCACCAGGCTCCCTCCCCAAGCTCACACCCCTGGGCCTTATGTACTCTCAGGATGATCACATGTGATAAAACAGGCCCTGCAGATCCAAGGAGCCAGCAGAATCTATGCTTTGGACCCTTGATCTAATTTAGCTTGAGGATATAAAAATGTCTTACAAAGAGAATTGAGAATAAGTCAGAGTTTTGTCCTCACTTGTACCTTGTTTTGTTAAGTCATTTAAAAAGTAGGTGTAGAAACTGAGTCCTGGGGAAGACTAATGTGATAGAACCATGGCACATTTTTCTAAAATTGAAGAAAATTCTAAAAGACAGCAAGGAAAGTCTAAAGATATTCTGTGTGGCAACTCTTACGAGTTCACCTAATGAAGGACGAAGAGGAAATGTTCTACAAGTCAGCAGACATCACCAAAGCTTAAGGAAGGCAGCATAAGGAACACCTATACATCATAATTACAAACTTCAGTAAGGGTTTAATATAAAAATCAACCCTGTAATTTAGCATTTTTATAGAAGAAAATTCATGAGTTAATCAAGAAGAATTAATATTCCAGAAGAATATTTAAATTTCCAGGACATAGCAAATGAAGTGAATACCATGTATATATAGCAGGTGTGAATGCATTTCCCTGTGGGATAAGAATAACACAGGAAAGCATTGTAAGGCTGTGTAACTTTGTAAGTGGAAGATTGACTCTTTTGTTAACCTCCAATGGGACATCTGGAGATCAGAAATCCGCACATGTGATAGGAATAAGATTTTTTAGGATTAATTTACTAAAAATGTAAATAAGGTATCTGTCATTAATAGAAAAAGAACTTAAAGTCATTGCTGATGAGTAGAGTGCTATTACACTTTCAAATAAATGTTCAGAAAAATAATTCATCATTTTATCTTTCCTAGATTTTAATGTCATATTTGCATTAGGAATATCTACATATTATCTAGTTAATTATATTTATACTAATAATTCAACCTGAAAACAGTATAGAATATTTAGTAGTACACTCTTTAATTATCATTAGAATATATCTTTATACTTGGAAAGAGTGACTGTATATACCAATAACTGGATATGATAATATTGATGCATATGATTATACTACAATTTATCTCTTCTCTCCTGTCCGCTTTCACATTTATTTTTACTTGAAATATAACATATTTTTCATTAAATATAGTTGAAATAGAAAGAAAATATTTAAAAGCTTATCTACCCAAACACAGCCAGTCTTAAGTTCTGGCATATTTTTAAATCCAGCCTTAGCTTTTGAGGTAACTCTTATAAGACCAGTGTACAAACAAAAATTTTTCTAATGAAAACGCTATTAATACAAAGACACATGTAAGATGTTAAAACAAAAAATATTGGCATGCACAAATGCATTTAAAAAGGTAAATGTTGAAGTAAAAGGTGTTAAAACAGATTTCCTTAAGGAAAAGTATATCACTGTACAACGTTCACTTCTTAAATTTTTAAATAACCTATTTTAGATTAGAATTTTCAGAAAATCCAAGAACTATATTTAACTACTCATTTCAATGTATTTTCAATATGGCACTACTGAATTCAGAATCAGTTAAAGGAAGGAAAGAGACAGAGAGACAGCAAACTGCTCTCCATTTAGTGTATGTGTGAGTAAAAATATTTAAATACTTGAGTTCATGCTCCCAGGTTTTGTAGTTCAAGAAAAATTTACAAAGCAATATCCCTATAGATTTCCATAAAATCTGGAAAAATAAAAATCAGTTATAATTCAAGGCTTAAAGTACCTGCCTAGTTGATTACAAATTCAGAAGGATTCAAAAAAATTTTATATACTCAGATCTTTAATCTGTCGCAAAGGCAATGCCAACTTTAGAAAAAAAACTATAAACCCTGAGATGAACAAAATAAATAAATAAAATTTGTCTCCAGGAACTTTGTTGTGGGTTTCAATGAAAGGACCAAAGCGTGCTGGGGATTTTCTCAGCTATTCATGGCTCAGCAGGATGGAGTCATAACCAGTAGGCCAAAAGCTGGAGGTGAATAGATAGTGTCAGAACCAATGGAGAGGAGCCCTTGGTATTGCAAACAAGAAGAAAAGTCCATTTTTCTCATTCGAAATGAGACAGAAGGGGAAGCCTAGGTCCTATTGCTAAACACTTAGTTAGTATACGTACAAACACACTCTGAGCCCTCGCGTGCATGCCAGTGCTTGCAGCCGTCACACTTCCTTCCTGTGGCTCCAGGGCGGCATGTGCAGAGTCCTGTGACTGGGTCACAGGGGACAGGCAGTGAGCCATAGGGGTCACACTCACATTCTTGGCAGGAGCCTCCAGGGCTGCTTGGACTGCCAGTGTAGCCAGGGGCACACCTGGATTTAAACAGTGACAAAGCAAAGGTTAGGCAAGTCACATCTCTAAATTATTTGTTTGAGTGTTTGAATGTGTGTGTGTGTGTGTGTCTGTCTGTCTATTTGTTTCATTTTTAAATGAAGCAAAATTGGTATCAAGAGTCTATAGATCAGGAGTCAGCAATCCTTTCCTGTAAAGGGCCAGATAGAACATTTTGTGCTTTATAAGCCAAAGACAAAGTCAAGTTTATGCACTGAGAAAGAAAATTTCAAAGTTTCTTCTTGTTGGTAGAATTCAAACCATAATAATATCAACAATAATAAATTATTTCATAATACAAATCTACTAAAGAGAATTACTAGAAGTCTTTGACGTATTAAATTTAAGTTAAATGGAGTTCAGATTTAGTGCTTTCAAATCATCACATGATTGTAAATGTTTACCTGTAGCAATATGGTTCTTGGATTAAATGCCAAAGAGAACAAGGCAAGGGCTAAATTTGGCCCATGGGCTGTAGTTTGCCTACCGCAGCTCTAGTTCATAAACTTTTCTTAAAAGTTTCTTTTTAAGTTTCTTGGCAATAAGCAAATTGGATTTTCTATTGAATTTTATTGGTGTTTCTTTTTTTACCACACCTTTTCCAAGATGATATTCATTAGGTATCTGGGAAAATGGATTCATGTTGAGCAAATAAAACACATAGCATTGACTTAAGAAATTAAAAATAAAATCAGATTGCGTGAATCCCAAATGCCATCCACTCATCAACTTTCCCCCCAATCCATGAATCTATTCATCTGAGTATATACCACCATGCACAATGATACTGCAGCTTTACAAGATGCTAGCAAAGTCATATGTTTCTGCTGTGCTCAGGACAATCTCAGATTACCTGTTTTCCTAGCTAAATTATTAAAAAACACTTCCTTTTCCTCTTTAGAGTGTCAATATATTATATATATGATCAGTGTAAATATAACCAACAGTCAGATTTTTTTTTTTTTTTTGTACTGGAGATTGAACCCAGAGGCACTTAACCACTGAGCAACATTCCCAGCCATTTTTATTTTTTATTTTGAGAAAGTCTCATTCAAAAGTCAGGATTTTTGTTCAACATGTAAGTAAGAGAAGGTCAGAGATAGTAGGGGGTTGGAGCCAAAGGTATAAATACTAATTGGATAATTCTAGACCATTTTTAGCAGCTTGGGACTATGAAAACTTGCACAGCTGATTCTTTTTTTTAAAATATTTATTTTTTAGAAGTAGTTGGAAACAATATCTTTATATTGTTTGTTTATTTTTATATGGTGCTGAGGATCCAACCCAGGGCCTTACACATGCTAGACAAGCAATCTATCATTGAGTCACAACCCCAGCCCTGCATAGCTGATTCTAAAAGTTCATTCATCCTGTGCTAGTTAGAAAAGGTGAAGCATAAACTATTTGTAATATTAGGCTTTCAGACATTTATGCTTTTGATTGTCATTTTCTTTCCAATATAAGATAACAAGTGCTTAGTAAAAATATTATTTAAATGAGTCCACTTAAATTGTTTCTTAACATTTGCAGGTAAAATAATTGTATTCTAAGCAGGTTCAGACTGTGTAAATCTTCAAAGAATTTATGACAAGAGTAATGAGGATAAAGTTTGGGAAGGGTTTCTACATTACAGGGACACTCAAGAAATTTAGGCACTTTAAGAGTTGAGTTAAGTTTGAGCAGGTCGTAAGGTGATTTAAATGACTTAAGATGCTCTCAGAAGTGGGATGAGTTTATTTGGAAGGTTACAATAAAAATTTAACCAAGACCTTTGGTTTAATTTAGCTGAATAGAAGCAATTTTTCAGGGAAATATAACTGATCATTTATATGTTAGAGATGATAAATGCAAAGCTTTAACAACATTCAAGAATTGCAAAAAAATTCATACCATTCACATTTGATAGTATATGATCCTGCTCATCTTATATGCTGTATGAACTGTCAACTCTTATTCATTAAACATTAATGGATTTTAGAAATGGATTTCTGTAATCACTCTGCTTTAAGATAATACTTGTCATCATGGTATACCTTTCCAGTCTTTTCTATCTATAAACATGCTTTTGTCTATAGTGGTGATTCCAATTTATGAATGCAGCTTATTATTGCAGATAATTGTGTTGGTGTGAAAGAATGCTTTCATTCACCACCCTGCTGGTGATTACAAGGGCATGAACTGAATATCAGCCTAAGCATCAAAACTAAAGCACCCTGGTGGAGAGAGAAAATATATACCTTTATCATCTATAATCTACATACAAATAATGTATGTATTTTCAAAACAAATGAAAATAGTTTTGGATTTTATATTACAAGTTGTTTAATTGCTACTAATTTTGGTTGGCATGGAAATTGTGAATGCACTGTTATACATATGCAAGTACAGAATATTGTAATTAGAGTAACCACATACAGATTTGTATTTGGAACTCTATCTTATGAATTTATACAAACTGCACTGGAATTTACAAAATTTAAGTATAATTATTTAATTACCTTCCTGTTGTCATTATTAATATAGACATTTCTGATTCTATATAAGAAGATTTTCTAAGTGAGTGATGATAAATATTATTTAATATTAGCTTATCTTTTAAAATTTTGATTTCAAAAGCTCCTAGAAGAATCCAGCAAAAGAATGGGTAAAGCAGGACATGGAAAAGAAAGACTCCAAACTATGATGTGATTGCAGTAAAGCTCCAGTGTTAGAGTGATTCCATAGAGCGTTCTGGAGTATAAATAGCATCTTAAAATCTGTTCTGCTTTGAGACAAAGGAAAGGGACTCTTGTACTACTTCACAAGGTAGTTATTGGCTTTGAGGCACAGGATGAAGATGGGATAAATTTCCCAGACTTTTTGTGACTCTGCTGGAGAGGAGGTTTTCATCTGGGTGCCTAGGCTAGGTGTCACACACATCACTGTCATACTGGCAGTGTTAAGTAGATAGAATATCAGCTATTCTTCTAAGACAGATGAGGAAATACGGGATCCATCTAGGTTGGTGGAACTAAGCTAAGTTCACGAAGCTCTAGAAAACTTTTTATGCTCTCAATTCTGCTATAACCACTATGAGTTTTAATGGTCAATATTATTACTTTATGTTATGTTAAAGATGCTAAAAGTGGTGATGACAAGTTTGAATAGCTAGGATGTTAATATTATAGAAAATACGTATTGGGAAGATGTTAGTTACAATCTTACTTTATAGTCTGGAATTGTATTGCTTATTTTAACATTTGTTATATATTTAGAATTCAATTTAATATCTACACATTTGTCTTAGTAGATCCTATAAATTACTACTGTAAGAAGCAGCATGAAATAACATTGTTTACTGTTGAATACGGGAAATGAACAGCATCTCATTGTTTGAATAGTATACTAATTAAAAATGCTGACACCATTTACATTCTGAGTTAGCCATATACCTGCCAATAAAGGGTCACTGGGCTAAGAACAAATGATGTGTGTGCAGTTATCGTTATAGTATTTTGAAGACAACATTTTCCAGTGAACTAAAATGAGAAATATGTAGCCAGTTTTTTATTATTGGACACTACTGATAAGCTTTTGAAAACCAATTTATTTGTTATTATAAAATTTATAAAATTAATTTATAAAATTTGTGCCTATTTATACATTTATATCTCTATGTATTTACTAAAACCTAAATTAGTTGTGAAATGATTTGGAGCTTTAAGAAAATCTAAAGTTAGATAGAAGTAAACTTTCTCCAGAAAAAGTCTAAAGATATAAAAATAGTTTTGTAAGCATCTAATTTAAACAACTAGAAAAAATGAAAATAATGAAATTATTGAAATATGGGCTTCTCTGTGGTGAACGTTAGCTATGTAACCTCCATGTGTCGTGACTGCTAGTACCTTTCACAGTATTGGCCTTCATATCCCCGTGGACAAGCTGTGCAGCGGTAATCATCAATGCCTTGGATGACGCAAGAAGGGCTGAAACTGAATCAGAAAAAGAAATATCATCAAAATTTTTTTTCACTCATTTATTTCAAGGTGGTTGGTTCATATTTCTAAGATAATCACAAAGGTCATATTTTAATCATTGGTAAAGTTCCTCTTTAAGGGTAGGGTGTCACAAATGTTACTAATAATAGTAAATAAATCTTGGTTGATGTTTGATGAATTACACTAAACATGTCAATATTTTGGAATTTCAATGATTACATAATAGCCATGCAAAAGAGTCCCCTTGCTCACTAATCAAAAGATAAATTGGACTAGAATTTATGCATATCTCTCTGATAGAATAGGCATTGCTGAATGTCTTTTAGGTTAAAGGAAAGAAGAGGGCATAAAAGCTATATATACATATCGTGTGTGTGTATGTATATGTGTGTGTGTGTGTGTGTGTATTTTTTTTTTCTGAAAGCTAAGTTCAAATTACCACTGGTACTTCAACACATGAAGTATGAATAAACATTTCAGTTGTAATTAGTGCGCTTTTTCTAATTGACATCCAGATTTCAAACTACATATTACATTAAACACTAAGTAATGTGATTAGTATGAGCACAAGAAGAAAAGAAAGCCTTCTGTAAGAAAATGAATACAATTTACTCATCATTTTACAGAATTTTCTAATGATTAGGTCTTCTATAACTTGTTTTCACTACAATGCTGGTAGGCCACAGCCTGTCTGCCTTGCTCCAGGATTTCTGATTATCTTACTGTATAATAGAAAGACTTGAAGAGACTTGAAAACCAAACTGTATTATCATGTAGCTTTGAGTTGTTATAAACTTCTTTCAAACAGGAAAGTGCTACATTTCAATTGAATAAAACTGTTTGATTCATTGGAAACTTAGGAAAAGAAAACTTATTTGTTGTAAAACATCAATGCTGGAAACACCATTTTTCATTTTGGTTGATCTGCAAAACCACTTGATGCTAAAACGGCAGCAATGACAGACAAAGACCTTGTTCTTTGGGTCGGGTGCCAATAGGACTCTATTTTAACTATCTTTTAATGCATTAAATCAATAGTATAAGAATAAATGATAAACTCTAACTTTCGCAAACTATGTAAACTAATGAATCTAGTACTCGCAAACTAATTATTCAAAACTATTTTTTTGCTTTCACAAAAAAAATAGAACCACAAACTCATAATTGACACAGTCTGTCAAGTGTTTAGCTCTTTAAGACTTGATGCCAAATGCATCTGTTTGTACATATACACACAAATTCATATACATACATAGGCCCAAGGAAATAGATTTTGGACATTTTAAGTGCAAATCTAGATTACATTCATTTACAGTAATATAATATTACTAAAAATAAAGTACTCAGAAAGTAAATAACTAGTGTGCTATAGAGGAATGAATGAAGCACCACATAGGAGTGTAGTAAATCTCCTTGGAGAGTGGATACCATTTTGGAATTACAGTACTCTGATGGATCGTGCTTTCTCCCTATATCACATAAAAGGGCTTCTGAAGATGGAAGTAGGAATCACAATTTGCCTGAGGTTAGAGTTGATTCTTTTTGTTCATACCTCCCTTGTCTGCTTTCAATTCTCCTTTCATTGACAGAACCATGTAACAAGCCTTGTGTTTTTCTCTTGGTGACCACACTTTACCTTTCCCTGTGGTGATTTCAAACTCCCTTCAACAGAATTTTTGACATTTATAGAGTCTCTACCTGTGTCACTCTGTGTGGACTCTACGGAGAGGAACTGGCTCCCTAGAAACAACCTCCTTAGTTTTGATCCCAGTTCAGTTGTTTCTCCTTTTAATTTCCTTTGCTGGATCTACATCACGTCCTTGATCTCCTAATGTGCTTCCAAGTTCTGTTTTCAGATTTTTCCTCCTCTCTCCTTTCTTCTCTGACAATTTCATCCATTCTCAATGTCTTTACATATTGAATTTACATTGACAGATCTAAAACTGAGCCCCCTGTCCTCTAAAAAATATACCTGATTTTTCTATAATTATCTCCATCTTAGTCAAAGGTCATTCTGTGCTTCTATTTGCTATGCCAAAAACTATGGGGTCAACTTTGTCTTCTTATTTCTCTCACATGCCACATAAATTTTATCTGTAAACGTCAGTGGTGCTACAATTGGAAATATCATCACTGCATTGTCCTGGACCAGCCCACCCCTTGCCATTGGAAGACATTTTTGCCTTCTGTGTCTTTTAAAAAAATTTTTTTTAGTTGTACATAACACAATACATTTATTTATTTATTTATTTATTTATTTAGCTCTGAGGATTGAACTCAGTGCCACACACATGCAAGGCAGGCGATTTACCACTGAGCCACAACCCCAGACCCTGACTTTTGTATCTTTAGTTACCCATTGGAGCTTGCTGATTTCATCATTGCCACTCTCTAACTCATTTTCTCTACTCCTTCCCTGCTGACCTCTGCTGTCTGCCATGCATGGGCCAGAGGGACCTGTCTCTGGGTCTGCGCATTTGCTTTTCTTCTGGCTGGATGCTCTTCTTATAAATATTCAAATGGTTTACTCCATTATTTCATTTGAGTCTCTGCATAAACCCGTCTTTCTGTAGAGGTCACTGACAACCCTATGTAAAATTGTACTGTGGCCACTTTATATTCACCGAGGCTGCTTTATTTTTCATGGCAGTATTTGTTACCACCTGACATTACATTATCTATCTATTTATTTATTGTCTTACTTATGAAAAATGTAAGATCGGGGAGAGCAGGAAACTTGGACTATTCTGCTCACCTATCAATTCCCAGCATGAAAAACCATATCTGGCATTGAGTTGGACCATCATTAAATATTTGTGGAATGAAGGTAGAAACACAATAGTATCTTTACCTTCAGTGAAGCTACAAAGTGCATATCAGATGGACATTTACAAATACAGGACAGGACATATGTGTCTCTCTTATTCAGGATGTCAAGATGCAGCACTTACTACTTAGTGTTTAATTTCTGAAAGCCCTTTCGATTGAAGCAAAGATACGATGTAAATGTATTAATAGTAAATGAAAGTACAAAGGACATGCTCTGCAGTTCTGTGGGGGAGGTGGCACTTGAACTGGTCTTTAAGAATAGATTAGATTCCACAGGAATCATCTCAGGGAACAGCAAGGACAAAGACTGTTGAGCATGTTCAGAAAAGAGCAGGAATCTCCAGACTTGGCATCATGAGAAAAGGAACAGAGGGCACTGAGCCTGGAATGGTGAGTCAGTGACCAATCCCCATGTCTTCCTACCCTTTGTTTCACTCAGCTATACAAATCGAAGCCACTAAAATGAGAAATCGCAACCCACCCCATATGTACCTGGAATCTTTTTTTATACATTGGGAAGAAGTGCCTCTCTTCTTTGCCCTGGCTGATTTCTGTCTTTTGCCTTTTAATCCTTCTTTTCTCATCATATGTAGATATTTGAATTAGACTAGACGTTCCAAGCTTTAGGTGATGGGTATTAGTGGGTCATGAAATCAGCTTAGTGGCTTTTGACTAAAACTTTTCCAAAAATGTGAGATAATAAAATGAAATAAATGGTTGGGCATATAATATATCTTTTTGAGTATCTGCACACATGTCTTTGAATGCTAGGCTATAATATAAGAAAAAAGTATTTCTCACAGTGATTTGATCAAGAAAGTTTGAAAGGCACTGGAATAAGCCACTTTCACTTGGTATTATGATTCTTTTAGGGTCCTTTGCATAGAGATTATACTTAAGTTACATAAATAATATACACTAAAAATAAAACAAATGAAAATGTACCATTTAATTGATTGTTCTAAGCAACCAAAGTAATATTTTCCTTGTTATTATGAAATTCGACATTTCTTAAAACTTCAAATTCAAGCCCTTGTGTCTTAATGACTGCTTCCATTCTTGCTTGCAAAGTTTATCAGTGCCCCTACTAGTCATCTGCCACCACACCGAAGCTGTCTCATATGGGGGAGCAGCACTGGGTGTTTGTTGATTGATATTCCTCATTCTCTTGCTGTCTGTGACAACTGCCTGGATTCTTGTCTCCCTGCCTGTTCTTGCCTTGCCTCCCCATTTTCTTTAGTGATTCCCCACAAAGGAAGTTCTGTCTTTGCTTCTCTCCATGTGTTCTCCAAGGATACTATTAGCCAGGGCAGTCTTATCTGACAAACTCATTTATTAACATATTTCTTCCTTCATCTGCTCCTGCAATTTTCAGATTCCTGTTTCTTACAGCTATTTGCATATTTCCATTCACACAGACCCTTAACATCAATTTAAACCTATTTAAACTATAAATGGCCTTTCTTCTGTAGCACCTCTCTCCCAATTTTCCTATTTCAATTCATAGTTCCACCATTTGGGGGTCAACCTGGCTAAAATCTTCAGCCTTCAACTCCTTTCTAGACCTCATCCCTCGAGTGGAATTATCAATTCTTGCAGACCTATGTTTAACAATTTTCTCATATTTATCCCTTGTCTCCATTCTTGTTACTGTTCTAATTATCTTTTGTCCAGGTTAGTGCATTAGCCCTTTAATTGGTCTCACCGCTTTTCTTTTTTTGCCTGTTTCAATTCATTATGCTCAATTCTCTCATAATAGTCTTCCTCAAATGTGGCTCTGATCATATTAACCTTTTCTTAAAAATAAAAACTTACAGTTTTATATAATATCTAAAATTAAAAGTAATTTCTATAGTGGTATTTGAGAATTTCTATAATATGGCCTCCATTTTCTTATTCATTTTCATCTGTAATTAAGAAATTCTATCCAAATTTCATGCTCCAAACTCTATTACTTCCTAGCTTTTCAATATGCCTTGCACACTTGTGTTTTCTAGGCTTCTGCTCATATAATTTCCTACCATTCCCAACAGTAAAAACCCTTAAGTCTACTATTGATGATCCCTTACACAATGGCTATTTCTTTTAATATGTTCTTGAAACTCCCCCAAATAATTACAGTGTTTTAAGCTTTTAAATTCTCTTAACATTTAAGTTGATGTCTCTTAAGACACATGTTTAATAAGGAGCAACCCCAAGAGATGGTAGCTTCTCCTTTATAGTCCCTGTAGCTTTTCTTATAGTGTATCCAAACAGGGAAAAATTAATTAACTATTGATTATTTTTTTCTAATTCAAATGGTTCACATTTTAAGAAACAAGGAAATAAACAGCATCCCCTTATTTAAATATGAGTATCAGAGGGAGATTAGGAAAAGGGAAAGCAGAATAATATTATGTTTCATATACCTACCAGTTCCTGCTTGCATGAAAATAAGATTATGCATATTATCCTCATCAGTAGCCAATGTATCCTAAAGTTTATATTTAACACCCTAAAAAGGCCTGAAATTATGGTCAACAAGGAAGAGAAGTTTTCAGAAGAAAAGGAAACAAGTTATACAAAAATGTTTTTAGAATATGCCTAAAGCTGAAATGTAGAGGCAAAGCAAACAGGCCCAGGTGGCATGGCAGCCACTTGGAATCGCTCTGTATCTGTTTTATGCTAGAGGCCAAGTGTCCAGAATTCTAATTCTGAACAAACTGATATACCTTTCTTTTTTTTTTCCCAACCAAATTCTTAAAGAAAAACTATGAAGTGATTACTGAAGTCTATAAATCACTTACAGTATAGATTGTCTTAGCAAAAGGATAAATTAAAACTCCCAGGGTTTTCATCAATCTATAAACCAAAGCAGCATGTTCAGACAGCATGGAAATAAGATATTCCAGCATTTTTTTTCCCTTAGCTATGTTTCCATGGTACCAAGCTCAGACCATCTTAACAAAAGGGGTGCTGTGATTCTGGCAGACATGGACTTTTTTGGGGGGAGGAGCATATCAATAAGTTGCCCTGCTTTTATTGTGCAATTTTTCAATTGTTTCCTTGATAATTAATTTCCAGTATTAAAATTTTCACACAAAAAGAATGGAAACAGCCACAAAAGTGATATAGTATGCAGTCAAGCTATCCTTCATAGCTGAATTAATGGCTGAACTATATGCAAACACTAGAACTGTATATTTATACAACTATGCATACTTGTATATATGCCATTTATTTTATAAGCAGAAATCATATTAATATTGGTACTTACATTTTAATTAATTATTATACACTGGGACAGTGTTTTAAAGGACACATGAGCCATAGAGTGTATATACCAACATTTTTCATGATTTTATGATTAGGAATATTTGTCTTGAGATTTTTATCTACATGGAAAAACAGTCGAATCTTAGACAGCCCATGTGCTAGACAGATGGCATTACTGATTGGGAAATATGGCTATATTTCTCAATCTTACTTGTTGCTGGGAGAAATCAGAGGGCAAGCACATTGCTGACAGTCATTTGGCAATCCCTTGACAATGCCATAGTATCCAAGAGCACACCGTTCACAGAAATCACCAGTAGTGTGATGCTGACAATTCTGCAATAACGGGAAAGGGATAAAACATTTAGTTTTAATTAAATGAGAGTTAGAATGTAATTTATTGTACAGCTCCACCCCTATGAGTGTGTGTGTGTCTATGAACACACACACACACACACACACACAAAATCATTAATAGGAAACTCAGTTTTTGATATATTTTAAAGAAACTTTTATTTGAGAAACTAATACTATGAAATTTTAGCTAAACTAGTGATAAGTATTTCTTTTTTTCTACATCAATTTCTGTGTACATTTTTCTTTCACTCTAAATTGAGATATGGAAAAATCTCTATAATTTATTTTATCACCTAGTCATTTAAATTTCTTAGTTTTTAGCTCTACAAGGTTCTGAAAAATTTATTAAAAATAATGGGACCTTGGCACATGCCCATCATCGGAATTTTGAAGCCAAAACAAGATAGAAAACCTAAATGTTTTAAGAGACAACAAGGAAAAAAAAAAGATCAGCTTTGTAACTGCATTTAAGAATGCTGTGACTAGAAAAAAATCTTTACCACATGCACCTCAGATAGAGCACAAGTCTCTAGAATATATAAATAACTCAAAAAATTCAATAGCAAAAAAACAAAAAAACTCAATCAATAAATGGTCTAAGGAAAAGAACAGATACTTTACATAAGAAATAAAATCAATCAACCAATATATAAAAAAAATTTCCACATCTCTAGCAATTAGAGAAATGCAAATCAAAACTAAGATCTTATTTCACTCTAGTCAGAATGGCAATTATCAAGAATACAAACAACAATAAGTGTTGGTGAGGATGTGGGGAAAAGGTATAATCATACATTGCTGGTGGGACTGCAAATTGGTGCAGCCAATCTGGAAAGCAGTATGGAGATTCCTTGGAAAACTGGGAATGGAACCACCATTTGACCCAGATAATACAGTGATAATCTACATCAATATTTATAGCAGCTCAATTCACAATAACTAAACTTTGGAACCAACCCAGATGCCCTTCAGTAGACAAATGGATAAAGACATTGTGGTGTGTGTGTGTGTGTGTGTGTGTGTGTGTGTGTGTGTATGCTATATGCAACGAAATATGACTCACCCATAAAAAATAAAATTATGGCATTTGCTGGTAAATGGGTGGAACTGGAGACTATCATGGTTAGTAAAATAAGCCAATCCCAAAACCAAAGGCCAAATGTTCTCTCTGATATGTGAATACTAACACAAAATAAAGGGTGTGGGAGAACTGAATTAGACAAAGGGGAATGAAGGAAAGAGAAGGGGGATGGGAATAGAAAAGACAGTAGAATAAATCAGACATAACTTTCCTAAGTTCATAAATGAATACACAACCAGTAAAACTTCATATCATGTACAACCACAAGAATTGTATCCTAAAAAGAAGAAGGAAAAAAAAAAACAAAGAATGCTGCACTGGGCACAGTGGCACACTCCTGTATTTCCAGTGACTTGGGAGGCTGAGGCAGAAGGATTGCAAGTCCAAGGCCAGCCTCAGAAACTTAGCCAGGCCCTAAGCAACTTAGTAAGACTCTGCCTCAAATTAAAAAAAAAAAAAAATTAAAAAGGGGAAAAGGCTACAGATGTAGCTCAGAGATTAACTGCCTCATATTAAATCTCCAATACCAAAAATAAATAAATAAATAAATAAAAATAAAAAAGCTATTTGTCTGTTACTCAGCAAACATGGTGGTTCTTTATAATAGAAATGATTCAATTTGAAACCAAGTACTTTAGGTCAATATTTTCTTTTTTTGTGTTTGCATAATAAAGGAATTGGGGTGATATGCTTGCTCTAAGACACCTCTATAAGAAAAGACAAGTTTCAGATCAGTGCGTAACTAGCTTTGAAATTAAAATTTTCCTAAAACAGAATTATATTTAACACAGAACAATCATTCCTGCAATTAGTGCTTCAAGGTACTAAACTAGGCATTGGGAGAATCAAGTGAGGGAAAAAAGAGAAAAGAACATCTTTCTCACTTTAGGAAAAGAGTTTAAAAACAATGGCAAATAGTAAACATGAAAACAAAAATGTAATATGGAATGTTGTTTAGAGAAAAGGATTTACTTTGATTTGGAGTTGAGAAAAAATAAGAAATAAAGGGAATTTGAAGTTGGATTTCAGCTTTCTTTTTTAAGAGGATTCAAAGTGGTTGGAAGTGATTTATTTCTTACAAACATTATAAAAAGAAAAGTTGAGAAGCAACAAAGTCAGCAACCAAATAGATGTGCATGGTCTCCTGATCAACTCAGCTGGAGCCACAGAGCTGTCTGCAGGCTGTATATTGAACTTGGATGACATCCGTCTGCTGGGCTCTTTGTTTCAATCAATCATGAAGAATGTATTTATTTTTTCATCTGTCTTCTAATGACAAACTATGTTTGGTACATGATGTGTAGTCTTTCATGACAAACACTAACTGAAGTCACTTCCACCAAAAACACTGCTGTGGAATTTTTTTTTTTTTTTAATTTTAGAGCTTTTAATACTAATTTTGAGAGATTTTGCAGTAAAAGCATGACATTGCCACCATTAATTTTAGACCACGACTAGCCTTTTACATTTTTGGTGTGATACCTGAAAATATATTGTGTCACTTGAAGATACATTTTACAACTAATGTAAAATGGACCCAGTTGCACAATATGACAGGAAGAAATCTCAGTTCTGTTTCCACTTTACCCTTAGGAGATGATAGCCTCCTATTTTCAGAGAAAAGAAAGTCCTCAATTTGGTGCTCCCTCAGTGTCCTTCCAAACTATTCACTATTTTGCCTGCATGTTTTTCCATCCCTTTGACATTGATTCTGTCTGCAGGGAAGTGGTGTTTTGTTCTTTGCTTAAATCTACTTTCCTTCTAAACTTGTTTCCTTGCCCTGCGTCTGAATTTTCTCCAGCGTCTTCATTTTCTCCTTAGTTGGCTTTTACCCATTAATATTTGAAGTTGGCCATGACTTTCCTATTTTAAAAAAATAAAATCTGTGGGGTCCCAAATCCCTTGATAACTTCCGTTCTATCTTTGATAAGCTTTTAAAGCACATTGTTTACACTCCTCATTTCTATTTCTTCATCTTGCTCCCATGTACCCATTAAATAGCCTTCTCATCTCACCACTGAAACAATTTCAGGCTCACCAAAAATCTTAGTTCCTAAACTGAAATTGCCTGACACTAACTAGTGCTAGTGTATGAATTCTACAGCATCTGATGTTTCTGGCCACTCTGCCTTGCAAAGTTTCTCTTCTATAATCTCTAAAGAGTACAGTGTTGTTTTTTCCTCCTACTTCTATGGCTACTCTTTCTTATTCTCCTTCATGGATTCTTCCCTTTCTATTTTGAAAGGCCAATTTCTTTGACTCTAGCTTTGGCTCTCATCTGTTTTATTCCTATATGTTCAACCTTGGTGGTTCCATCCATTACCATGACTTTAGTTATCTATGTGCCCCAAACTATATTTTATATATTTATTATGTATATCTCCAATGAGTGCTAGACTTATATGTTTAATTGCTTCTTGGATAATTCTCAATGCACAACACAAAAGCACCTGGAATTTGAAACAACAATAATTAAGTTTATCTCTCTTTCAACCTACTATGAACTTGTGATTCATAGTTAATTTGGGGTTACGGTCATCCACTCATTTGCCCAGGTCCACAATTTAGAGTCTTCTCTTTTCCCAGATACTTATTTGTTTGCTGTTTCATAACTGTATTTTTCTTTCTTATATCCTTGTTGCTACTGCTTTTGTCTGGCCACTGTCATCTTTTACCTGTATTATTAGAATAAACTCTTTGCTAGAGGTCCTATTTCTCCTCCAGAGATTTTCCCACACTACAATCAGAGTGATTATTCCATACAACATATCAAACCATGCCCATCCCATGCTTGAACGCCTATGCTAGGTACTCACTGTTGTGAAAATGAATTGTAAATACCTACACATGGCAAGGAAGACTTTCATAATCTGGTCTTCTTTGTCCTCCAGTCTTACCTCTAGCCATTGTTCCCTTTGCACACTCTACTATTCATATGAGAGCATCTGAAATTCTCAAATTATGTGCTGCTCTCTCTTTTCACCGCTAGGACTTCTCATTTACAAATCCCTCACTATGGAATGTTTCTTTCTCTGCTCACCAGACTAGCATTTACTGATTTCTGTTTTCACTACAAATATAATTTTCTCTGATAAACATTCGTTGATGTCATAAATCTGGTTTAACTGCTCATTCTAGTTTAACACAGTGAATAAAACAGCATAGGCATTCAATGGTTATTTTGACTTACTGAACTAATCAATCATGTTCTAGTTAGTATAAAGCAACTGCTCAGACTTACGGGAAAAAAATGTGTGTGTGTGTGTTTTTGGTACTGGGGATTGAACTCGGGGGCACTTGACCACTACACCACATCCTCAGACCTATTATGTATTTTATTTAGAGACAGGGTCTCATTGAGTTGCTTAGCATCTCACTTTTGCTGAGGCTGGCTTTGAACTCTCGATCCTCCTGCCTCAGTCACCTGAGCCATTGGGATTATAGCTGTGTGGCACTGTGCCCAGCAAGAAAAACCAAGTTTTAAGTTTAGTATCTGCAGAAAAATTGGTTAGAAAGGTAAAATGATTTGTTATATTTTAAAATTAATTTTAGGCCACAATCTTCTTTTCAACCACCCAAAGGAACCACCATATTTTAGCAATAAAATAGCCATTTCACATTTAATTGTAGCATTGTGAGAGATAATGGCTTCTAGATAAAATAATTATATGAATTTCAGTCTCAAATCATTCAGCAAGGTGACAAATGATGAATAAGTGTTAACTATGGAGTGTTTTAAGAACATATTTTATAGTTATAAGAATTAATGTGTGCCAAAAATACATGAAATCTCTAACAATAATTTTCAGTATTTTACAGTTGCAATGAAATCATTGCATAATAAATCATTTTATGTAACCTAAATATAACATTAATAACTAAATCAAAATACTTAAAA